TGATTCCCTACGCTCCAGGGTTGGTCAGAGAATGAAAAGAGAGGGTTAGTGAAAGGTCCTAGAGACAAGAGGGGGTGTTACCCACGTCAAGAGCCCTCCCCCGGCTCTAAGAACAAGGGCCACGGTGCTGTGCAGGCTGGGACCGGGCAAGGGCCTGATCCCTGTCTCCGTAGCACTGCCTCTGTCGTGGCGGGCGCTCCTGGGGCCCTGGGCAGAGCCTTAGCGCAGCAGGCTCCCAGGACAGCCCTGGTTCTAGGCAGCCTGTTTTAAATACCAGCTCTGCCATTCATTAGCTGTTACTCAGTTTTGGGGGGCCTCATTACCTGTCTATAAAGTGGAGATGATAATGGAAGCGACCTCGAGCGACCGCGAGGTTAAACGTGCAGAGCACTAATAACAAACAGTGCAAGTAGGAAGCGCTCCATAAATGCTGGCTACTTACGGTAAACCCCGGGCTGAGCTCGCCGTAAACAGTAACTCAGGAGCACCCTTCACGGAACAGCCTTTCAGAGCCAGCCAAGAAATGACTGACTTTTCAGTTCGGGGAGGGGCCTCTTCCCCAGGGCAGGGTGTCATGCTGGTGTCAGCTGTCCCCAGGTCTCTTGGGCCTGAGTTCCCTGGAAGGCTGTGTGGCACTGCCCGCTGTGGTAGGCAGGGGTAACTCCAGGGTCACTGGCTGCTTTGGGAGTGGTCCGGGGTCTGATCCCCCTGCCATCTTGTGCCACAGATCTACCGGAGGTGCTGGCTGGTGTTCCGGAAATCCTCCAGCAAGGGACCCCAGCGGCTGGAAAAGTATCCAGATGAGAAGTCAGTGTGCCTCCGAGGCTGCCCCAAGGTTAGGGGGCCCGGGCCCTAGCTCTCCCAACCTGTAAGCAGTGATGATTTGTTCAGAGTCCTGAGGGCCAAGAGGACCCTCCTGGGGGTGGCAGAGCCGTGGGGGATACAGAGGGAGGTGCTTCAACCTGGCCGAGTACCTTGTGGATGCTGTTCCAGGTGACAGAGATCAGCAATGTCAAGTGTGTCACACGGCTCCCCAAGGAGACCAAGAGACAGGCAGTGGCCATCATATTCACCGACGACTCAGCACGTACCTTCACCTGCGACTCAGGTGAGGGGATGCGGCTGCAGGCTGTGGGCTGGTCGAGGTCCAGTTGGTAGGAGGCAGAGCAAAGGCTTGCCCTGCCTGGGTATGATGTGTGGGTGGAGGACACCTTTGAGGGAGCAGCCCCAGGATGAGGTGGGGCAGGCACGCAGAACCCACTGGCCTTGCCCTCTGTGCCTGGCGGGGTGGGATAACTCCGGCTGAAGCAGATGGGGTGGGTTGCTGCGGGCCCCTGAGCTGGCAGCACGAAGAGGGACTATCTTCTCCAGAGCTGGAGGCAGAGGAGTGGTACAAGACTCTCTCTGTGGAGTGCCTGGGGTCGAGGCTCAACGACATCAGTCTGGGAGAGCCGGACCTCCTGGCCCCAGGAGTGCAGTGCGAGCAGACAGGTGAGGCCTGGCGCTGGCACGGGGTGGGGGTGAGAGGGAGACCCCCCCCCCAGGCCCCCCACAAAGCTCCAGGCCCACTTGTCCACTCCCATCCAGATCGCTTCAACGTCTTCCTGCTGCCCTGCCCCAACCTGGATGTGTATGGCGAGTGCAAGCTGCAGATCACCCACGAGAACATCTACCTCTGGGACATACACAACCCCCGCGTGAAGCTCGTCTCGTGGCCCCTCTGCTCACTGCGCCGCTATGGCCGGGATGCCACACGCTTTACCTTCGAGGCTGGCCGGTAGGACCCACTCGCCTCCCCGCCGTCCAACCGTGGTCATGATGGTAGCTGCCATTCACTTGTGTCGGGCACTGTGCTGGAAGCTTAAGTTATTTATCAGCATAGCATGCTGAAGGGGAACCCATTTTACAGATGAAGAAATTGAGACTCACAGCAGGTAGGTCAAGTGAAGCTGTTTACCAAGTCGGACTGCTCAGGCTTTAATCAGATGCTGGCACTGGCATTGACTAGCTCTGTGATTGTGGACCTGAGTCTCAGTTTCCTCCTCTGTCAAATGGGGGATAATAAAAGTACCTAACCTCATAGATTGGGTTATGGTAAGGACTGGGTATAGCTTGAACCCTGGAGCAGCTTGCCTAGACTCAAATTCTGTATAATCCGCTGTGTAACTTTCGTTGTTACCTTCTGAATGCCTCAGTTTCCTCATCTGTAAAATGGCTTGAGAAAAATTATAATAACGAGGGAACTGTAGGAGTACGCAGACCAGAGTGGGGTGGTGGGGAAAATGGAATGGATTAATCCTTGTAAAGCATATAGACCCCCACCTGGCACATAGAAAATGTTCAGCATGTTTGAGCTGGGTGGTCAGACCCTTAGATGACAGCCCTGCCTGTTCCCAGACGAGAGCCTGACTGTGCATGTGCACACACATGGGGGCATACCCACCACGTGGCTCTCGGTGCTACTTGTGTCCCCAGGATGTGTGATGCTGGGGAAGGGCTCTACACCTTCCAGACGCAGGACGGGGAACAGATTTACCAGCGAGTCCACAGTGCCACCCTGGCCATCGCCGAGCAGCACAAGAGGGTCCTACTGGAAATGGAGAAGAACGTGAGGGTGAGGCAGTGCGTGTCTCGGTCCAGGGTAGGGGGAGGCTGGCGGGCGGGCGGGCCGGCGGCCGGGAGAGTGGCAGCTGTCTCCAGCTGGTGTGTCCGAGAGGCAGGCAGGGTCTTGGGCTGGCTGCTCTGGGCTTAGCCACTGACGCTTCTCTGCCCCACAGCTGCTGAACAAGGGCACGGAACATTACTCATACCCCTGCACGCCCACTACCATGCTGCCCCGCAGTGCCTACTGGCACCACATCACAGGTTCCCAGAACATCGCTGAGGCCTCCAGCTATGCCGGTGAGTCACTGCTGGGCCCCACCCCCACCGGCCAGGAGGCTCTGTGGAGGACAAGGCATGTTGGGCAGGGGCCTTCTGTCCCGGGCCCAAGGCCTCAGCCTGCCTCTGTGTCCACAGGTGAGAGGTATGGGACGGCCCAGGCCAGCTCAGAAACGGACCTCCTCAACAGATTCATCCTGCTAAAGCCAAAGCCCAGCCAGGGGGACAGCAGTGAGGCCAAGGCTCCTTCCCAGTGACAGCAAAGCTGGCACACACAGATGACCACTGGGGCTGCCTGCAGCGTATCATGGATGGCATGGAGGGGCTGTGGGCCAAGAGCCTGGGGAAAGGGAGCAAGTGGTCCCTTCTTTGCCCCCGAGGGTGAGACTGGACCAAGGCAAAGGGCTGGCCATGCCACCTGAGCATGTGTGAGGGGCTGGAGCTACTATGGGACTATATACTGTTAATGATTTTAATATATATGGCTTATGACGTATTCTGTATTAATAAGATTCCCCCTCTGACCCTCCCTGCCACCACATACACATTTTTTAATCCCATGACCAGGCCACAGTCAAGGCTGTTTTGAATGTGAGGGCAGCAGTTTCCCTGTCCCCCATGGTACCAGCCCTCCTGCTGCTGGGACCTGAGCTGCCAGGGCCAGAGGAGGGAGACACTCCACACTCCCAGCTGCTGCGCTGGCTGCTGGCTTTTCCCAAGCAGCCCAGGGGCGGAGATAGCAGGTGGCTTCTCAGTCCCTCTGGGCCTAGAGTGGCACAGGAAGGATCCGAACTTACACTGTGCCACTTGGTAGCCTTGCACTTGGGAGTTTTCAGCAGAGGTGACGTCTGGTTGATACCTCAGGTGAAAAATCTGACTTGAAAGTGGTTTCTGCCCAGACTCCTTTGTGCTTAGCAGGCTGAGGAGACGCCCTGGGGGTGGGGGGGTGCTGGTTACCTCACCCAGGGAGGACAGCCAGTCCCAGGCGCTTTCCTGCCCTCAGGCCAGGCCGGCCGCACAGGAGGACTGCGGTGAGGAGGGGGTGGGGAAGCGCCCTGCTGCCCGCTCTCAGTGACCGGTGTGGGTAGTGCTTCCACAGAGGGAGCCCCTCTGCCCTGTCTGGCCTCCCTCCGGCAGCCAAAGTACTCAGAAGCCGGTCAGAGACCTCCCCATTTCCTCCTCCACATGGTGCTGAGGCTCCCTGCTGAAATGCAATTAAAGCAACTGATTTTCTAGTGCTGGTATTTACTGACGACCGTGCAGAAGGGCTATCTTTTTACTCACATCAAACCTTTGGTTGCGTGTGTGTTGGGTTGTTTGTTTTTAATATTTTAGGGTTCTGATTTGAGGGAACAGACCTTCTTGTAAATAACCATTATTCAAGTCATGGCAGGAGGATGATAAAGCAAGAGGCCCCCTCCGACAGAGCACTGGAGCCCGGGAGGTGGCCACAGCCCGCTCAGCTCTGACCCTGACCCAGGGAATGACCACCTAGAGGAATAAGCTAGCCTGAAGAAGGGAGCCCAAAGGCCACGGAGGGGAGGCAGAGCTGGCTGGCTTGGTTAGTGGCACGATGACGCATGAAGGCGATTACGTACGTTTTGCTCTTTATTGCCAAAAATAAAAACTTTAAAAGACAACTACTGTTAATAAATAACCCTTCCTTTTTGTACTAGATCTCTGGTTTTCTCCAGGCTGCCTGGCTGCCTAATTAACTGCTTTGGGTATGTTCCTACCTATAGGGCTAAGTGGTCAAGGCCAGACCTCCATGAAGGCCCTTGCCCTCCCCCACAAATTAAATAACCTGGCCATTGTTGGTGACGTTCAAAACCCATGGGCAGAGAACAAAATACAAGGCTTACTGGCGGGAAGAGGGGGATAGCCTGGGCCTAACACTACTCTCACAGGATTCTCAAATTAGGGACACTTGGGAATTTGAGTGAAGAACCAATAGGCTGGCCGGGGCAGGGACTGGAAGGGCTGGCAGGAGCCTGAGTAGGGTCCTATATTCAGCGCTAACACAGAAGCCTAAGGTGCCAACAGTGAACATTCCAACTTGTGAACATAAAGGATTTGAAGTAAAGAACTGAAATACCCAGAAGATGAGAGTTCAGCTCAGTGGTCCTCAACAGGGGAACACCGTGGCCCCCTGAGGCCCACTGAGATACAGGGCAGAAGGGATGTTCCGGGCAGCACTACTGCCCATCAGCAGGCAGGGCCGGGGACGCTAAATGTCTGGGAAGGGACCGTCCTGCCTCCAACAGCAGTGCTGGCCCTGGTAATCTGTGACTGCACAAGGCTGGGATGGACCTACCCTTCCCCGCTGCTACCTTTCTAATTGGTACTGAAGGCTTGCCAGGAAGCTTGAGCAACAGCTGTCCAGTCCCCAGGAGCCAGAATCTGGAGTCTCAGGAGAGACCTAAAATTCAACTGCTGTTCTGCCGAAACAGGTGAGCTGCAGCTAGTTTATGGTCAGGACGTCACTCTGGATCTCGTGGCTTAACTGGGTCTGTAAATCACTCAGCTTCTTCTTTAATCCAGACAGGGCTGACAGGACAATGGTTTCAGGGCGCAGAGAGCCACAGGACTCCACGTTGTAGTAAAACCTGAGAGGCAAGAGTCTGGTGAGAGCCCTCCATGAGGCTCTCATGAGCTATGGCCACAGGCCGGCCTCCCTCCTGGGTCCTGACTCCTTTCTCCCCATGAACTCGACCTTGCCCCAGGGTTGACCTCCATCCAACCTCTTACAAACAGTGGTCCCAGGGCACTTTGCAGGACCTTGAGGAGGCCACGGCTACCTCAGAACAATATCTCAAAACACCTGTGTATGGATGTATTCTACACTGGGGGAAAGAGAACGATAAGTAAGCATGTCACCTGCTCCAGCATTTTCATGTTTGTCACTAGAAGGCTCTGGTCACTTTGGGGCCCTAGGTTTGATCCTAGGTTGATCTTTCTTTGGGAGCTGAAAAATCAGACTAGGAACAGTGTGGATAACTGGAGGGCTCCCCTTCCCCCCAGCGACCAAAAGGGGGATGATAATCTGCCTGGATGTGTACATACGGTGTGTCCAGCAGTTACCAGCCCCTCCTCAGCTGAGGGGAACTGGGATGGGCGGGAAAGGGCCTCCCTAACTCAGAGGCTGCATCAGAACTGTACGTCCTTACACACGTTACCTTCAAGTCCCCACCGGGCTCTTACCTCTCTGGCTTGCCGTTGGGGTCGTAGGGCGCCTGCGACTCATCCTCGTCCAGCTCTGAGTACTCACTCTTTGGCCTGAGGTCAAACACAGATCAACACAGGTGGCTACTGCCGCTTTGAGGGCACCCGTGTCTCAGTGAGGCTGCCCCATCTCGGTCACCAGGAGCCATTTGCACACCCGCCCACACTGCCTGCCTTCACTCCCAGCAGGAACATACCACTCCTCCGGCTTGGGGTACACCGTGTGCCTCAGGGCATTGTCAGGATCGTATTCAAAAGCCACGCCTGCAGTCGGGTTCCACTTGGCGTGTTCCTTGCCAAAGCCCTTTTTGGCATAGGCTCGAAGCCTCAGCTCCTGGCCCTTTCTCAGCTTGACGATGAGAATGTCTGTGGGGAGGTGTGAGTCAGTCGAGGGCCAGCAGAGGCACGGCTCTCCGCGGTCCGACCTGCAGCGCCACTGGAGGGCTGGGCAGCGCGAGAGCCTGGGTCTGGTCTCCGCCCCTCGGGCCCTTACCATCCTGCTCCACGTAGTCGTTGGGGTCATTATCTCGGCTCCGGGATGTCACCTGTAGGGGTCCAGACAGAGGCACTTATTAGCTGCTGCCCATCTCCCCACGCACCCCTTCTGGCACCCACCTTCCGGCACCTCCAGACCGCAACCTGCCGAGCCAAGAAAAGGACACCTGAGGAGAAGGTGGTAGAAGTGCCTACTAGGACCCAGTCTGTGCTGGTTACTGGCCTCTAACCCCTACCTCATGGCTTTGTGACAACCTCCCCAGTCAAAACAGTACCATGGCCTTTAAAAGGGTCCTTAGTGGACAGGGCCCACAGCACCAATGCTTCTGTCCACACTGGCAAAAGTCCAGAATTATTAGCACTTCTAGGCATCAGGCTTAGGTTAAGGCAGAAGGTAACACAGGGAAAGTCGGTGTCTTATAAGAATCCACCCCAATCTGGCCCACTTGGAGCCAGGAGAAGAGCAAAGGTCCTGGGTAGGGAGGGCGTTCCTGACCGGAATGACCCGGGGGCTGTTGGAGATGAGGTCTCGAGACGTGACGTGACGCGTCTGGTCTTCATTGCACCGCACGTCGAGGGTGAACTCCACCGAGCACTCAGGGCAGAACTCTTCACAAGTACAGTCCTGAGGCAGGAAGAGAGGCAGGAGTGAGTCTGCGGAGAGACAGCGAATCCTGGCTTGGCTCCCCGCTTCTAATACCCTGTTCCTTAAGGTTCTTCATCTGGGAGAGGGTGGATCACAGCCTCCAGGCTCTCGTGGGCTGTGTCCATCTGCACACCACTCTCAGGCTGCTCAAGGGCAGACACGTCCCAGCTCAGAGACCGCCTATACGCGGGCATCCATGTGTCCTTCCCACCCCTTGCTGCCAGGCCACCGCTGGGAGACACACTAACATCTCATCCTGGCCTCGGAACACTCTTCCTCAGAGAACCAAGGCGGTAAGAAGGAAGAGGCTTTCACACTGCATGGTTCAGCATACCCTGAGATAAGTGGACTAGCCTGGGAATGCAATTACCATTTAAAATAAAATAATCCAGGGAACAATAGAAAAAAGTACATTTTAAATTCCAGACTACTGACCTTTTCTTAAAAAATTTCATACGGAAATTTTTCACAAAAGCAGAGAAGAGTGTAAGAGACTGCCACAATGTAAGCATCACTTGGCTTCAATAATTCTCACGTTTGCCATTCTTTAAACTGATTCTTGAAACACTCCCATATTAGAGATAAGCTGCTACCATTTAACTTCAGGCAAGAAGAGAGTTACCAGAATGTAATCAAGCAAACTGTTCTCCCCCTCACACCAGTGAGGAAAATCCAACCTATTTTTGATGTTTTCAAGACAATGAGGAAGATCTAGGGGCCATACCTGGATAGTCTGCAATCACACACAGGTGGGACGGGAAGGCAACCTAGACCCTTGAGACTGAATCACTCACAAATATGAAATTAAAGAAGCAAAATATAATGGAAGACAAAAATATGAAAAGGTACTTAACCTCAAAAAAAAAATAATGAAAAGAGAGGAGTCTGTTCAAG